CACTTCATACACCGTCAGCATCATACACTGTGAGCATTATACACTGTCAGCATTATACTGTCAGCATCATACACTGTCAGCATCATACACTGTCAGATTTATACACTGTCAGCATTATACACTGTCAGCATCATACACTGTCAGCATACACTGTCAGCATTATACACTGTCAGCATCATACACTGTGATTTATACACTGTCAGCATTATACACTGTCAGCATCATACACTGTGAGCATTATACACTGTCAGCATTATACTGTCAGCATCATACACTGTCAGCATCATACACTGTCAGATTTATACACTGTCAGCATTATACACTGTCAGCATCATACACTGTCAGCATTATACACTGTCAGCATCATACACTGTCAGCATCATACACTGTCAGCATCATACACTGTCAGCATCATACACTGTCAGCATCATACACTGTCAGCATTATACACTGTCAGCACCAGACACTGTCAGTATTATACACATTCGAATATACAGTTAGATGTACATGTATTATCCTGCAGTCAAACGTACACACACACAGTCGGTATTATGTACGTTTCTGATGTCATCTGTGGGGTGTGGGGGTACTGTGGGCTAGGTGTGGTGTGGGGTACTGTGGGTTGGGTGTGTGTGGTGTTGGTGTACTGTGGGCTGGGTGTGGTGTGGGGGTACTGTGAGTTGGGTGTGTGGGGGTACTGTGGGTTGGGTGTGTGGTGTGGGTACTGTGGGTTGGGTGTGGTGTGGGTACTGTGGTTGGGTGTGGGGTGTGGGGGTACTGTGGGCTAGGTGGAACTCCCTACCACATAGTATTATTCCACACTCATTCCACCCTCTATAAGAACCCACCAACCCACACCACCCTAAAAAAACCCACCACCAACCCACACCACCCTAAAAAACCCACCACCAACCCACACCACCCTAAAACACCCACCACCCCATCAAACCCACCACCACCCCACAACCCACTCCCACTCCAATAAAACCCACCAACCCACCCTCTACCCACCCACCCTAAAAAAAAATACCAGGTCACATCCACCGGTAGTATTTTCCCTTAACTAATTTTATATTCTGAAAATATTTTATGCCTCTACGTCAAAATTCCCAGAGATTTAAATTCCCAGACATTGTTTTTTTTCAACTATTTTTTTTTGACAATTTATCTTTTACGGCGGCCTGTAAATCGTCTGTCATTTACGTCACACAGAACCTATTAAATTTTCGGGTAAATTTGGTCTGATTTTACTGTATTGGTTCTGGATGTTTAAAATATTTGGGTTAATTTGCATATTTAGATTTTTTAGTATATTGGTGTCTTGTGTGTGTGTGTGTGTGTGTGTGTATGTGTGTGTGTGTGTGTGTGTGTGTGTGTGAAACCTAACCTAACCTAACCTAACCAATCCTAACCAAACCTAACCTAACCTAACCAAACCTAACCTAACCAAACCTAACCTAACCTAACCAAACCTAACCTAACCTAACCTAACCAAACCTAACCTAACCAAACCTAACCTAACCAAACCTAACCTAACCAATCCTAACCAAACCTAACCTAACCCGACTTAAATTCACCTAACATGTCCTAAACTACCCTAACCTAACCTGACCAAATTTAATCTAACATAACCTAACCTGAATCAACCTAATCTGCACAAGACTGTCCTGACCTGAACTAACCTTGACCTAATCTGACCTGACCACTAAGGTGTGACCTCTCTGTATTTTTTTAGGCACTACAGGTCACAGGATTAGTAAGGGGTGCACTATAAACTAGCTGTTGTATACGGTCGAATTCAAATAGTCAATCACAACTAACTACACCACTTCACTATAATCACTACCATCCTCACCATCACTATCACCATCACTATCATCACCACCACTACTATTGCCGTCACCACCATCACAACAACCACCACCACCACCATCACTACCACCACCATCACCATCACCACCATCACTACCACCACCACTACTACCACCACTATCAACACCACAACTCACACAACACCACACAACACCTAACCAATCCACTACCACATATCAAATATTTAAAATCGCTTACATGAACCTGGCTTAGGGAACTCATCTGCATGTTATATCCGTGTTGTATTGTGTCTGGTTGAGCTGTAGCTATGGTCCACTGCCTCTGATGAATCACTTGGAATGGGGGAGAGGAAAGCCTGCCTCTCGTCTCTCTATTGTCAATTGATGGAGCACCTCGACCCGTTTTCTGTTGTGGTGGTAATTAGGACAGTTCTCCGTTTTCTGTTGTGGTATTGTCAGTACTCCGTTTTCTGTGGTCGGTTTATCAGTACCCCGTTTTCTGTTGTGGTGGTAATGAGGACAGCCCCCCGTTTTCTGTTGTGGTGGTAATCAATACTCCGTTTTCTGTTGTGGTGGTCATTAGGACAGTTCACCGTTTTCTGTTTATAGTCTAATGATTCTGTTATTCTATTTTCTGTTGTATCCACCACTCAAAATTATATTCCGACAGACAACGATAGGGTAGGGTAGGGTAAAACACACACACACACACACACACACACACACACACACACACACACACACACACACACACCACTTCACAAGGTCCTTCACCCCCCCCTATAAATATAAAACGTGGAGCTGGTGGGGGGGAGGAGGTGGATGATATTTCTGTTTCCTCTGTATGGACATGACGCCGGCGCTACCTGAATGGTAATGTGCCGTTTAAGACTCCTCCCAGAGGGCCTCATGTGGAAAACTGTGATATATATTATAACAGTCTGTTGGTTCACTGTTAACGGCAGATATTTCGCTGTTTTATTGTCTGTTAGGTCTTTATAGCTCACGTGTTCAGTCAGTCAGTTTTTACATAACTTTGAAATGTTATAAAATTTGAAGAAAAAAAATATTCTACTTTGTCTTTCTAAATATTGGTTATGTAAAAGATCGAATTCTGAAACGTTAATAAGTTATTTTTTTTGTATCTTTATCTGGTAACCTGAAGCTTTTTCCTTAACTGGGTAACTTTAACCTATGACATAATATCCAAGTATTCGTAAGTTCATTTTGTTATCTTAAGTAACTCTATTAGCATGTACTTATATGATGTTACTTAACCTCTGATACAAGTATATTTAAGTATTTGAGATATTATGTTGCATTTAATTACATTTGAACAGTCAAGGTATTGTTTATTTCATGTGTAAAGCCTCTATTCTTTATGTTGGTCTCAATGCTGTACGATACTTTGGGCAGTTCTCTGTGGTCTCAATGCTGTACGATACTTTGGGCAGTTCTCTGTGGTCTCAATGCTGTACGATACTTTGGGCAGTTCTCTGTGGTCTCAATGTTGTACGATACTTTGGGCAGTTCTCTGTGGTCTCAATGTTGTACGATACTTTGGGCAGTTCTCTGTGGTCTCAATGCTGTACGATACTTTGGGCAGTTCTCTGTGGTCTCAATGCTGTACGATACTTTGGGCAGTTCTCTGTGGTTCTCAATGCTGTACGATACTTTGGGCAGTTCTCTGTGGTCTCAATACTGTACGATACATTGGGCAAAGCTCGTGGTCTCAATGCTGTACGATACTTTGGGCAGTTCTCTGTGGTCTCAATGCTGTACGATACTTTGGGCAGTTCTCTGTGGTCTCAATGTTGTACGATACATTGGGCAGTTCTCAGGTTCAATGCTGTAATACGATACTTTGGGCAGTTCTCTGTGTCTCAATGCCAATGATACTTTGGGCAGTTCTCTGTGGTCTCAATGCTGTACGATTTTGGGCAGTTCTCTGTGGTCTCAATGTTGTACGATACTTTGGGCAGTTCTCTGTGGTCTCAATGTTGTACGGTACTTTAAAGGTGCTCCCTTCGTGGTCTCAATGCTGTACGATACTTTGGGCAGTTCTCTGTGGTCTCAATGCTGTACGATACTTTGGGCAGTTCTCTGTGGTCTCAATACTGTACGATACATTGGGCAGTTCTCTGTGGTCTCAATGTTGTACGATACTTTGGGAGGTTCTCTGTGGTCTCAATGCTGTACGATACTTTGGGCAGTTCTCTGTGGTCTCAATGCTGTACGATACTTTGGGCAGTTCTCTGTGGTCTCAATGTTGTACGATACTTTGGGCAGTTCTCTGTGGTCTCAATGCTGTACGATACTTTGGGATACTTTGGGGTTCTCTGTGGTCTCAATGCTGTACGATACTTTGGGCAGTTCTCTGTGGTCTCAATGCTGTACGATACTTTGGGCAGTTCTCTGTGGTCTCAATGTTGTACGATACTTTGGGCAGTTCTCTGTGGTCTCAATAATGTACGATACTTTGGGCAGTTCTCTGTGGTCTCAATGTTGTACGATACTTTGGGCAGTTCTCTTGTGTTGTGATGTAATTACTACACTTCAACAACTAAGTTCTTTAAGCACGTATTCTCTATTAGTAACTACACTAGTCATCAACTATTACAAATTGAGAGACGTATCGTAAATCTCTCTCTCTCTCTCTCTGTCTCTCTCAGGTACTCAGGTACATGTTTCACCTTAGAGAGCCAGCTAGCCAGAGTAAGTTTCAACAGTGGTGGTCACTCGCGCCACAACTCCCCGGGCCGGGTGCGGTAAGGCTGAAAAAGACTCCTCCTTATGATGGTCTCGTGAGCCGTAAAATAAATAAGATCAAGACTATTTACATGGAGTATCAGTCCTTGTCGGTGGGTGGCCGGCCATAACACTAAACTGTTTCGTGTTTCCCTGCCACTCACAGTTTTTGTGCTACTGGTCCCTCGACGCGCGTGGCGGCTCTTCCATCCACCCTCAGCCTCCCTGCCACAACAAACTCGCCCAAATACGGATTTCTTAAGATTCGTACGTAAATTTTTCCCGTAACTAAGATAACACACATGAAAACTCGGAATACAAAAACGAGTCTATCTCCGGCACAGTCGCACTGCAATTCAAATTCCATTTTAGCCGCCAACTTTGTGCAGTAGCAAAAGTTGTGTCAGTTAAGATACGTTCTCACATCTCCAGTTTACGGGGTAAAATATTCAGCGTACGAAGCTCTGAGAATCGTGGCTTTAGACGGGTACTGCCGCCGGAACCGATACAATCCATCGCAATCACTGTTGACGGAAACTGTGCCGTTTCTTCACAGGTTATTGACGATAAGAGAGATAAGGTATCGGTTGTCAATGATGCGTTGTGTAGTAAACATAAGGAAGGTCGTTTAAGCTCGTTGTCCACACGCCGCCATGGTTGCTAAGTTACCATATAAGCATACTATTTTGGTGGTAATATTTGTCCATTTAAACTTTTACCGGCCAATTACATAGATAACAATGTTGCTTGGATATGTTATATAAAAGCATACCGTACGTCTTGCTGCTGTGGTGATCACGTACAATTTTGGCGGGCATTTGCGTTCATAACAATTATTCATGTCAGAAACATTTACACAAAATTTAGAGGGTATTTTTCGTATGTGTAACAATGTCGCTATGATAAATTAAGAACTAAAATAATGATATACCGTTGAACAGGTAATACACATAGACAAATACTCATCGTTCATAAAGGCGTATTCTTAGTGGCTCCAAAACGCATAACTCTATCTACTGCGCATCCCAAAGTTTTGCCATGGAGGTAAAACTTAACAAAACTCCTTCAGAGACAGTACTCACCGTCCATGGCAATAAAAAGACAGACAGGTAACAACAATAAATAATAGACGGGTACTTACCGTTCATCGTAATAAAGTTGGACAGGTAGAGGTCTAGTTCACGGACGGAAACGTTAATATGGTAAGGGTTGACACACAGCGCTGGATGGAGGCAGTCGGGCGATTTCTCTAGCCTCTCGCCGTCTGTTGACTCCAGAGGGATACTTTTAAATAGAATCACCATCACCAGGTCCAGCCGCCACACCTGTAGGGGATAGTGAAGTGATGGTGAGTGATAGTGTTATAGTGAGGTGGGATAGTGAGGTAGGATAGTGAAGGATGGTGAAGATATTGAAGGATACATTTACACTGTCACTATCACCAGGTCCAGCCGCCACACCTGTAGGGGATAGTGAGGTGATGGTGAGTGATAGTGTTATAGTGAGGTGGGATAGTGAGGTAGGATAGTGAAGGATGGTGAAGATATTGCTTGATAAATTTGAAGACGGTTTCAGACAGCAATAGACAGTTCTAGACAGTAAGTTCAGAGGAGCACAGACAGTTCCTAAAACAGGAGTCAGACAGCAATAGACAGTTTCTAAAAACAGGAGTCAGACAGCACAGACAGTTCTAGACAGGGTTCAACGTAATAAGACAGCCACACAAGCTTCAGACAGCTATAGACAGGCGTTAAACAGTCCTAGACAGGCTTCACACAGTTCTAGACAGCCACACAAACTTAGACAGTACTAGACAGCCACACAACCTTTAGACAGTACTAGACAGCCACACAAACTATAGACAGTACTAGACAGTCACACAAACTATAGACAGTACTAGACAGCCACACAACCTTTTAGACAGTACTAGACAGCCACACAACCTTTTAGACAGTACTAGACAGCCACACAAACTATAGACAGTACTAGACAGTCACACAAACTATAGACAGAGAATTCAAACAGCAGTATTAGACATGAAACTCACCTTATCAGCTTGCTTTTAGACAGTCAATCCAGCCCCATCTTGCCCCTTCTGGTCCGGATTAGACAGAACACATGTATTGGCTTCTTCCCGGTGAGATGCAGACAGAACGAAGTCTTCCCTACACTTGGTGTGATGTCTTTTCTTAATTTACCCAAGAGACGGGAAGCCCATTTCTGTTTCACCTCGTCTTTCCTGCTCTGACGGGAAGACAAGGGGATTTATTGCGTTAGAAAGAGGATTAATGAGATAGAGAGAGGATTAATGAGTTAAGAGAGAGGATTAATGAGTTAAGAGAGAGGATTAATGAGTTAAGAGAGGATTAATGAGTTAAGAGAGAGGATTAATGAGATAGAGAGAGGATTAACCACTTAAGAGAGCAACAAAAAACTAAACTAATTATATAAAAAAAAATTACAGCCAAAATATCCCCAAAACAAATAAAAAATATAAGAAAAAATACTCAAAAAACAAGATAAGTTAAAAATCAAGCAGAAGTAAGTGATTGATTACAGCTGAGGGTTGGCGACCACGCACCACCCACGTTATATTTCAACCATTATTATCGTTTAATATCTTTTAATGCAATAGGGAGGGCAGCTATCATTATAAAGACCTGAGGACTGTGTGTGTGTGTGTGTGTGTGTGTGTGTGCGTGTGTGTGTGTATGTGTATGTGTGTGTGTTAAACTCTCTACGGCGATTACTACCCATATTTCGTTAATACTACAGAAACTAAGAACAACAACAACAAATAACGACAACAACAACAACGACAACAACAACAACAACAACAAACACAGACAAAGTGAATAAACTCTTCAACACAACACTGCTATATGCCAGAATCTTGTTTACATAACCCTGCTCAGACAATATTTGGGGGGGGGTGTAAGCCTATGTACGGGACTAAGGACGGATCTATGTACGTATCTAAGGACGGAGGGATGTACGGACGGATCTATGTACGTATTAATTGGTTTGAATTCGCTGTATATTTCCTTCACAAATATCACCTCACCTCCCTCACTCCTTCGCCAAATATCACCCCCACCTCCCTCACTCCTTCGCCAAATACCACCCCACCCCACTCATTCCTTCGCCAATATCGCCCCCTAATTTCAATTCTTCGCCAACATCACCACCTCCCCACCCTTCTGCCAACATCACCCCTCACCTCCCCCTCACTCCTTCTGCCAACAATCTCTGACCTCCCTCACCCTGCCAACACCTCACCTCCTCACTCTTCGCCAACATCACCCCCACCTCCCTCACCTTCGCCAACACCACCCCACCTCCCTCACTCCTTTCTGCCAACACCCCCACCTCCCTCACTCCTTCGCCAAATATCACCCCTTCCTATTTTGGCGTTATTCGCGAAACATCCTCCCCTCCCCCCTATCCCACGCCAACTTTCCCACATATTTCGTAAAGGCGCCAACTCTATTTCCCGCTTAGTTCACGAAAACGGAAACACACAAACGTACACATACCCCGCGAAGTGTATGTGTGTGTGTGTATGTGTGTGTGTGTGTGTGTGTGTGTGTATGTGTGTATGTGTGTGTGTATGTGTGTGTGTGTGGGGGGAGGGGAGGGAGGGGGGAGGAGAGGGTAATGGAAAGTTTGTCGTGGAGGCTGTACCATAACACGGGTTTAGGACGGATAATAAAGCATGTCTTGTGGGCCATCCGTGCGTCATGTTAAGAGAGAGAGAGAGAGAGAGAGAGAGAGAGAGAGAGAGAGAGAGAGAGAGGAGAGAGAGAGAGAGAGAGAGAGAGTTATGTTGCTGCCCATGCGTTCTAGGACTCAACCATGTCATCGATATTACGCAGATTAACGCACCTGGTGAAACAAAATACGTCAATTGGCCTCGTGTGTAATAAGTTTTCAATTTTTCATTGCCCGCGAATTTATCCATATTTTAAAAGGGTTCGGGCGTAGAAACACTACAAATTCGCGGTTGGTCTTATATTCAAGAACTTTTCCTGAGGTGAAGGTAATAACCTTATGGGGCGAGTGGGTCATCCTTGAAGCCTCCCCTTCCTGTTCCCCCTTCCCATCACCTCCCCTCCCATCCCCCCCCTCCTCCTCAATCCCTCCTCACCCTCTTCCTCCCACATCCTCCCCTACCATCACCTCCTCCTTTCCTCCCTCCTCTACCATCACCTCCCTCCTCTACCATCACCTCTCCTCCCTCCCTCTACCATCACCTCCTCCTCTACCATCACCTCCCTTTCTCCTCCTCTACCATCACCTCCTCCCTCCTCTACCATCACCTCCCTTTCCTCCTCCTCTACCATCACCTCCTCTACCACCACCTCCCCCCTCCTCTACCATCACCTCTCCCTTTTCCTCCCTCCTACCACCTCCTCCTCTACCATCACTCTCCTTTCTCCCTCCCCCTTCCCTTAATACACTGGAGAGCTGTACGGGGATGTATCGTGTGCTCGACTTAAGGTGAATCATAAAGGCTACATCTTAGTTGTTTTTGGTTTTTTTATCTTTCATCATATCAAAGTTTTATCAGTCACTTTAAAGCCTCAACTTGGTCAATAAACTCCACGAGGTCATGAGGTCAAGAGGTCACGATAAGGGGTCATGAGGTCACGATAAGGGGTCATGAGGTCAACGATAAGGGGTTTTGAGGTCACGATAAGGGGTCATGAGGTCACGATAAGGGCCACCTGGCTGGACGAGGTAGTCTCCCTCCTTCATGGAAGGTAGCCTCCTCCTTTCCTCCTTCATGCCATGCAGCCTCCTCCTTCCCTCCCTCATGGTGTGTAGCCTCCTCCTTCCTCCAGAATCCTAAGGTAATGTTTACATCTGACAAAGTATAGACGACAGACCCTGAAGGTAACATATAGTATAGACGACAGACCCTGAAGGTAACAAAGTATAGACGACAGACCCTGAAGGTAACATAGTATAGACGACAGACCCTGAAGGTAAATGTGCTATAGACGACAGACCCTGAAGGTAATATTATAGTATAGACGACAGACCCTGAAGGTAACATAGTATAGACGACAGACCCTGAAGGTAACATAGTATAGACGACAGACCCTGAAGGTAACAAAGTATAGACGACAGACCCTGAAGGTAACATAGTATAGACGACAGACCCTGAAGGTAACAAAGTATAGACGACAAACCCTGAAGGTAACATAGTATAGACGACAGACCCTGAAGGTAACAAAGTATAGACGACAGACCCTGAAGGTAACATAGTATAGACGACAGACCCTGAAGGTAACAAAGTATAGACGACAGACCCTGAAGGTAACAAAGTATAGACGACAAACCCTGAAGGTAAATAAAGTATAGACGACAGACCCTGAAGGTAATAAAGTATAGACGACAGACCCTGAAGGTAATGTAGTATAGACGACAGACCCTGAAGGTAACAAAGTATAGACGACAGACCCTGAAGGTAAATTGTAGCATAGACCACAGACCCTGAAGGTAACAAAGTATAGACGACAGACCCTGAAGGTAACAAAGTATAGACCACAGACCCTGAAGGTAACAAAGTATAGACGACAAACCTGAAGGTAACAAAGTATAGACGACAGACACTGAAGGTAACAAAGTATAGACGACAGACACTGAAGGTAACAAAGTATAGACGACAGACCCTGAAGGTAACAAAATATAGACGACAGACACTGAAGGTAACAAAGTATAGACGACAGACCCTGAAGGTAACAAAATATAGACGGCAGACACTGAAGGTAACAAAGTATAGACGACAAACTCTGAAGTTATTACTCACATTCAACACAAAGTATAGACGAAAGACCCCGGAGGTAATAAAGTATAGACGACAGACCCTGAAGGTAACAAAATATAGACGACAAACCCTGAAGGTAACAAAGTATAGACGACAAACTCTGAAGTTATTACTCACATTCAACACAAAGTATAGACGAAAGATCCCGGAGGTAATAAAGTATAGACGACACAACCCTAAGGTAATGTTTACATCTGAGGGAAACTATAGACGAAAGACCCCGGACCCGGCGACACTGGGACTGAGCATCACATCACCACGACTAAAAGGGGGAATCCGCGACCCCAAAGGAGGAATTTATTGCGCGGAAAACGGTTCTTCGGTTCGCTCGGCATTATGCAAACCCGGCGGTCACGGCGGCATATAACAGCGGCCACCACAAAAAACTTCACCTACTGATTCTCGCTTCGTGGATAAGGGATTAAGTTCGCCTGGCTTGTCCGTCTTCCCCTGACTCCCCCCCTCCCCCTGACTGACTACCTTATTCCCCCTGTCTCTCCCCCTGCTTAACAATGCCCCCCCTTCTCTGGACTACCTTCACCCTGCCTCCCCCTGCCTGACTACCCTTCCCCTACTTCACCATACTCCCCCTGCTCTGCCTACCCCTTCATGCACCTTGCCTCCCCCTTTCCCTGTCTTTTATAACCCCTTACTTCCACCTCTCTACCCCTTCCTTCTCTCCTCCTTCCTCCTACTGTTCCTCTCCTCTTCCTGACCCTAGCCTCTTCCTCCTGACCTCCTCTCTTCCTATCCCCTGCATCCCCCTCGCCTCTCCGCTGTCCTACCTCACCTCTACCCCTCCCTTCCTTCCCCTACCCCCCATCTCCCCTTTACCTCCCTCCCTCCCCTGCATCTCCTGTCGTCTCACATTCTCCCACCTCCCTCCATAATAATGTAAGCACGACTGTAGTATCAAACGTGGCTGTTGGACTTGAACGACCAAACTCCATAGTTGAGTCTGCAATAAGAGCTTTAGTTGGACTTATCCGGCTGAGAAGGTCCACTGGACTTAGGTAAAGACACCCCATAAACCTTTGGACTTGAGGAGGGCCGTGGTCGCCAACCCTACCCCAAGAGATGATTGGTTGGACTTGTAAGGCCCAGAGGTTGTGATATTTCTTACACCAGAAGGCCAGGTGGACTTATGCCCATCTGGGAAGGTCATTTGGACTTATATGCTGGACTTGTAAGACCTTAAGTCCATATATATTATTACCAGAGGTTATTTAGATATTCATAAATTTAAAAATGTCATTAAGTAAGTCCCCCCCCAAAGCAACACAGAAAACGACAGAGAAGGACAACACAGAAAATGGGAAACTGGATGAAAGAAAATGATAAACTGATAAGAAAACGGGAAAAAGGCATAAAGAAAATGGGAAACTAGTTGACTTATGTTTACGGTTGAAAGAAAATGAGCTGTTAAAGAAAACGGAAAACTGAAATAACAGAAAACGAAAAACTGAAATAATAGAAAACGGAAAACTGATATAACAGAAAACGGAAAACTGAAATAAAAACAATGGGAAAGTACTTGACTATGATTTGTGGATGAAAGAAAATGAGAAAAGAGAAAATGGAAAACTGGACGACTGAACACACAGACCAACTGAAGACGAATAAAATAGAGGTGAAAGTCGTAAACCAGAGGGAATAAAGATGAAAGACAAAGAACAGTAAAAGTTACGTGGAAATATGGTGAGGGAGAAAGAGTAGAAGGGAGGAGGGAGAGAAGGGAGGGAGGGAGAGTAGAAGGGAGGGAGGGAGAGAGAAGGAGGGAGAGAAGGGAGGGAGGGAGAGAGAAGGAGGGAGGGAGAGAGAAGGGAGGGAGGAGAGTAGAAGGGAGGGAGGGAGAGAAGGAGGAGGGAGAGAAGGAGGGAGGGAGAAGGGAGGGAGGAGAGAGAAGGAGGGAGGGAGAGAGAAGGAGGGAGGGAGAGAAGGGAGGGAGGGAGAGGAAGGAAGGGAGGAGAGGAAGGGAGGAGGGAGAGAAGGAGGGAGGAGAGAGAAGGGAGGAGGGAGAGAGAAGGAGGAGGGAGAGAAGGAGAGGGAGGAGGAGGGAGAGAGAAGGAGGAGGGAGAGTAGAAGGGAGGGAGGAGAGAAGGAGGAGGGAGAGGAGGAGGGAGGGAGGGAGAGAGAAGGGAGGGAGGGAGAGAGGAAGGAAGGAGGGAGAGAGAAGGGAGGGAGGAGAGAAGGGAGGGAGGGAGAGTAGAAGGAGGGAGGGAGGAGAGAAGGGAGGGAGGGAGAGTAGAAGGGAGGAGGGAGAGTAGAAGGGAGGGAGGGAGAGAGAAGGAGGAGGGTAGGAGGGAGGGAGGGAGGGAGGGAGAGAAGGAGGAGGGAGAGAGAAGGGAGGGAGGGAGAGAAGGGAGAGGAGAGAAGAAGGGAGGAGGGAGAGAAGGAGGGATAAGAGGGAGGGAGGAGAGGGGAAGGGGGGGAGGAATGAGGAGGGAGGGGGAGGGGAGGAGGAGGGAGAGGGAGGAGGTGAGAGGAAGTGAAGGGAGGAAGGAAGGGGTGGATGGGGAGAAGAGAAGGAGGGAGGGAAGGAAAGAAGGAAGGGGTGGAGTATGTTAGTGGTTACAAGAGGGAAGGAGAGAGGGTGTGGGAAGGAGGGAGAGGGTTCAGGTATGGGTGGGTGGGAAGGAAGAATACGTGATGGAAGGGGAAGAGAGAGAGAGAGAGAGAGAGAGAGAGAGAGAGAGAGAGAGAGAGAAACAGTGTTCTAATATTATCTTAGGAATTTGTTCACCGGAAACATCCATAAAAAATATGCCGTTTATCTTATTACTGATGCCTCCTTCATCCTCCTTACTGATGCCCTCTGTCCCTCCTTACTGATGCCTCCTTCATCCTCCTTACTGATGCCTCCTTCATCCTCCTTACTGATGCCTCCTTCATCCTCCTTACTGATGCCCTCCTTCATCCCTCCCTTACTGATGCCCCCTTCATTCCTTACTGATGCCTCCTTCATCCTCCTTACTGATGCCTCCTTCATCCTCCTTACTGATGCCTCCTTCATCCTCCCTACTGATGCCTCCCCCTTCCTACTGATGCCCTCATCCTCCTTACTGATGCCCCCTTCATCCTCCTTACTGATGCCTCCTTCATCCTCCTTACTGATGCCTCCTTCATCCTCCTTACTGATGCCTCCCTTCATCCTCCTACTGATGCCTCCTTCATCCTCCCTACTGATGCCTCCTTCATCCTCCCCTACTGATGCCTCCTTCATCCTCCTTACTGATGCCTCCTTCATCCTCATTACCGATGCCTCCTTCATCCTCATTACTGATGCCTCCTTCATCCTCCTTACTGATGCCTCCTTCATCCTCCTTACTGATGCCTCCTTCATCCTCCTTACTGATGCCTCCTTCATCCTAATTACCGATGCCTCCTTCATCCTCATTACTGATGCCTCCTTCATCCTCCTTACTGATGCCTCCTTCATCCCACTACTGATGCCTCCTTCATCCTCCCCTTACTGATGCCTCCTTCATCCTCATTAATGATGCCTTCATCCTCCTTACTGATGCCTCCTTCATCCTCCTTACTGATGCCTCCTTCATCCTCCTTACTGATGCCTCCTTCATCCTCCTTACTGATGCCTCCTTCGTCTTCCTTTTGCCTCCTTATTCTTGTCTTCCTCCTTATTATGCTCTCTCTGCCTCTTTCTTCTCGCCCTCTACCTCCTCCTCCTCCTTCTCTTCTCTCTACTCTTCTTCCTCGCCCTCTCTCCTCCTCCTCCTCCTTCTCTCTCTTACTCTCCTTCATTCTTTTTACTTTTTATTGGATTATTTCGTTTATACTAATGTGGTTATTCTTTCGTCTATACTTAACCTAACCTAACCTAACCTAACGTAACCTAACCAACCTAACGTAACCTAACCTAACCTAACGTAACGTAACCCAACCTAACCTAACGTAATCCACCTAACCTAACGTAACCCAACCTTAACCTAACGTAACCTAACCTAATCTAACGTAACCAACCCATCCTAACCACCTAACCTTAACCTAACCTGTCCCAACCTAACTCTAACGTAACCTTAACCTTAACTTAACGTAACCTAACCTTAACCTAACCTAACCTAACCTAACCTAACCTTAACCTAACGTACCTAACCTAACCTAACTTATTCCAATCCTAACCTAACTCTAACGTAACCTAACCATAACTAACTAACATAATTAACTTAACGTAACGCAACCGAATATTTAACATGATATAATCTTTAATATAACCTTCAACAAACTACAAGAATGAAGGATGAAGGATTGCCTTACCTGTAGTTCATCCTTACACCTCCTCTCCTCCTCGAGTGACATCCTTTTCTCATGTTTCTTGAAGTATTTACGTTTGGCTGCTTGTAAGTTGAACCAGGTGTAGGCGAAGGACTTGACATGTGGCAACAGAGCCTCAATGAACGGGTGGAACTCATCCTGGGAGAGAAAAAAGAGATATATACCATTATTATTATATACAGTAAACATAAAATCATCTAATGTTTATAAGTTTTGAAGCAATTTTATGTTTTTTGAGAAATATAATAACTTAAGTATGGGAAAAAATCATTAATAAGTGTTTAAAAGAATATTGATATCCTAGTGAATTCATATACCAAACATTTAAAGAAATTCCTAGTATTTTTAAATCATTACAAGAAAAAACACTACTACAGAGAAATGAATTTATATATAAACAAAATACCATAATAATAATAATAATAAACAGAAAATCGATGTCGAAGAGATGAATTACAAGATAGTTTATTACTGATGTGGTAACTGGATCGCGAATTATAACGAGAACCAGAAAAATATATCTCTTTTACAAATTAATATTAATAACTACTGTATATATTAACCTACAATACCCACTTAAAGATCTAATTATTGACGCGTAGTAATAGATTATAAACCTCAATCACTCGTCTGTTATAATCAAAATTACCGTAAACACCATAATAACGCGTAAGATCTTCCTCTCTCCAGTAAATAAACATCTCAAGATATTATAGAAACTTACAATATATTTTTTCACTAATAATATAAACTAGTTAGTACTTTATTGCCATACTGTATATATATATAAAACAGTAATGCACTAGTGAACGACGGCTCTGAATCCCGTTGCCTGACGTATAACCAAAATATCTCCTACAAATACACAAAACTAAAACCAATAATTCAATAAAAAACAAAAATAATTCCAAATAAAATTATATCCCTAAACACACACTCGTCATAATCTATTTCGTCTCCTAATGGTTGAAATAAACATTACATTTACGGCCGTACGATATTTTTCCCGCGTCTCTCAGCCAATCAGAAGCCGTTAATCACCCATTGAATATATCTGTTGCCTCTATGTAGGGCAACAGGGAACCAGATTTCAGCTAGATAATAAAACACGTGAATTGGGTGGTGAGAGGGAATGAGAGGGGGGTTAAAAGAATAAGAATGGGACGATGAGAGGGATAAAAGAGAGGTAGAGCAAGAGGGTGGTTTGCTAGTGGAGGCCGAGGGAATGAGGGGTTAAAAGAATAAGAATGGGACGATGAGAGGGATAAAAGAGAGGTAGAGCAAGAGGGTGGTTTGCTAGTGGAGTGGGCTACTGAGAGGGAATGGGAGGGGTTTAAAAGACGTGGTGAGGGGGTTAGTGAGAGAATGAGAGGGAGAGAGAGGGATAATGAGAGGGGAATAGAGGGGCGAGAAGACGTGAAGTCGGTTAATGAGAGGAAATGAGAGGGCGTGAGAGGTAAAAAGAGGAGTAGGCGGCTGATACAAATGGCGAGAGGAAATGAGAGGGAAATAAGAGGTAATGAAGTTAATGAGCCAATGAGTGGGAGTGAGAGGGGTGGAGGAGGCGGAGAGGGTTCATGAGAGGGACTTGGTGAGTGAGTGATGATGAAAAGGCTTGAGAGGAAGTGAGTGGAAATGAGAGGGAATGAGTGGGAGGTAGTGAGAGGGAATGAGTGGGAGGGAATAAGAGGGAGTGAGATAATGAGTGGGAGTCAGAGGGAATGAATGGGAATGAAAAATGAATGAGTGGAAGTAATAAGGAATGGATGAGAGTGAGTGGGAGGGAATGAGAGGGAATGAGTGGGGAACAGAACACAACCCATAGTAGTTAACATGATGGATACATAATGTCTCTCAAACTTTATCCAGTTGATAACGTGATGGTGGGCATATATATCCTGGTGACGTGACTCTCTCTCTCTCTCTCTCTCTCTCTCTCTCTCTCATACAATTTACGAATGTTCTAGAATTTTTAGTTCACACACACACACACACACACACACACACACACACACACACACACACACACACGCACGCACACACACACGCGCGCACACACACACACACACACACGCACACACACACACACATACGCACACACACACACACACACCACGCACGCACGCACACACACACACGCACACACACACACACACACACACACACACACACACACAATAATAATAAATAAACAAAGTGACAATATAAAGATTATTCTCTCCAAAAGGAATTCACTTCAACAATAGGCGAGAGGGGTGAGAGGGGTGAGAGGGGAGGAGGAGGGGAAGAGAGGGGAGGAAGAGAGAAAAATGAAGAAGAAATACAGACCTTGATATGTTGTAGAAGACAGAGAAGAAGAAGAGAAGAGGAGGTGGGGAGTGGGGGAAGAAGAGAGGGAAGGAGGAGGGGAAGAGAGGGAAGGAGGAGGGGAAGAGGGAAGGGGAAGAGGGAGGGGGAAGAGGGGGGAAGAAGATTTATCGGCCAGGGCATTAGTGGCAGTTTGCAAAAGGTGTTTTATCAGTGGTCACAGTAAAAGATCTAGTTGAGCGGAAACTATTCTATTTTTCCTCGTACTGAACCAATTGTCTCCTGCTGTGGTATGGTGGTGGTGGTGAGTGTGGTGTGGTATAGTGTGGTAGTGGTGTGTGGTTGATGAGGTAATAACAACCACACACCACCACAGCCGTCACCATAACCACAACCATAACAGCCATTATACCACACACCACCACCAGATTCGACTCCCTTCACTACTGGCACTATAGACACACACATACACACACACACACACACACGCACACACACACACACACGCACACGCAACGCACGCACGCACACAGTTCATATTCTTAACTTCTACCATAGAATACAAAGTGATGTTATATGATCAATGGGACCCAGTTCTAATAGGTACCAGTTCTAATAGGTGCCAGTTCTAATAGGTACCAGTTCTAATAGGTCCCAGTTCTAATAGGTCCCAGTTCTAATAGGTGCCAGTTCTAATAGGTGCCAGTTCTAATAGGTGCCAGTTCTAATAGGTGCCAGTTCTAATAGGTACCAGTTCTAATAGGTCCCAGTTCTAATAGGTGCCAGTTCTAATGGGCCCTAGCATAACCTAAACTAACCATTATAATTGATATTGGGGCCAATTAGGACAGTGGATCATATGAACAAGACCCCAACGTTAATATGTAGCCAAGTTGGTTAGATTAGGGTAGGGTAGGGTAGGGTAGGGTAGGGTAGGGTAGGGTAGGGTAGGGTAGGGTAGGGTAGGGCAGGGCAGGGTAGGGCAGGCTTGCAGGTTAGGCAGGGCAGGGCAGGGTAGGCAGGCAGGGCAGGGCAGGCAGGTTAGGCAGGCTAGGTAGGTTAGCTGAGTAGTAGGGTAGGGCAGGGTAGGGTAGGTTAGGGTAGGGTAAGGTAGGATAGATTTGGGTAGGTTAGGGTCGGATGGAAGCTATTTAGACCAAGGTTAGATTAGGTTAGGTTACATTAGGTTAGGTTAGGTTAGGTTAAATTAGGTTAGGTTAGGCTGGGGGCTATTGGTACCAGATCTTTAACGTGAGCAATATGGTCAAAATGTTGGGGGTTGGTTCATGCTAACACTAACGTAACACTAACATAATATTAACGTAACACTAACGTAATATTAACGTAACACTAACGTAACACTAACATAACACTAACGTAACACTAACATAACACTAACGTAACACTAACATAACACCAACGTAACACTAACGTAACACTAACGTAACACCAACGTAACACTAACGTAACACTAACATAACACTAACGTAACACTAACGTAACACCAACGTAACACTAACATAACACTAACGTAACACTAACGTAACATTAACAAAATACCATCATCAATAACTCCTTCCCTCGTTCAAACCTAAACAATGATTCTCCCTCACAAGTCAAACTTTTAGTCAAGCTGCGCCAGTGAGAGCGATGAGGAGCGTCTGGCGTTAGTCTTACTCGTTAACTTAAGACATGGACGTTAGGAGAAGACATTATTGAGGTTTAAACCACATCACCAGCGCCGCCGAAGCCAGACTCACAGGTTCGCCTATCTTCTGCCTGGGGTGGCGCTGGTGTGTGATACGGGTATAGTATTGATGTGGGTAAAGGTGGTTAAGTACTGACCCAGGGCATGGTGGCACATTTCATGGGTGGGGGGCCGAGGGGTGGGTGGGAGGGGGGGTATGGCGGTGGCTGGACGAAGAGCGACACTGTAGCGAGGATCTGCCAGCCGCTAACACGCTAGATATTAGCGCTTCACTCCGCTAACAACAGCAACTTTTACCCCCACTCTCTCCCTCTCTCTTCTTGTTATTAATTTCCTGGGTATTAAGCGCCTGGCTCCTGAGGGTCTGTCTGCCAGCCGCTAACTTTCTAAATATTAGCTCTTCTCACGGCTAACAATAGCGCCTTTTTCGCCTAGCTGTCTCGCAGGCCACAAGAGCTTCTAGCAATAATGATATTTCCACAATTACTTCCCAACTCCCTCTAACATAAACACGGGTCGCTAACTTCCTCGCTAAACTAGATACAGTCTCGCTAGTTCAGTGTTAGCGCTTGGCTCTCTCGTCTCCTCGCTAATAACAATAATTAATTTTCTTCTTCAGTAAAAAAAATAATAATAATTAATAATCACAGGTGTTTCTTAATGAGGTGTACTTTGTTATTGCTGTTGTTATTGTTCTTGTTGATATTCTTGTTGTTGTTGTTGTTGTTGTTGTTCTTCTTGTTCTTGTCGTTATTGTTGTTGTTGTTGTTGTTGTTATGCCCCGCTATTGGTCGTTGCTGGGTGATGGTAGCAATCAGTTGAGTGTGTCTGTTTAGTAAAGTTCCTTATAACGCACACACACACAAACACACACTCAGTTGATAACACCACAGTATAAAGTGTTCAGTAGAGCCTCACGCACTTCAGTAGAGCTTCACGCACTTCAGTAGAGCTTCACGCACTTCAGTAGAGCTTCACGCACTTCAGTAGAGCTTCACGTACTTCAGTAGAGCTTCACGCACTTCAGTAGAGCTTCACGCACTTCAGTAGAGCTTCACGCACTTCAGTAGAGTTCCACGCACTTCAGTTGAGCTTCACGCACTTCAGTAGAGCTTCACACACT